CAGTTCTCCCTCTGTCCTTTGTGAGAGCTCCCGGCACCCCTGGTTTATGCCCAAGCCCGCTCGGAGGACAGTTCTCCCTCTGTCCTTTGTGAGAGCTCCCGGCACCCCTGGTTTATGCCCAAGCCCAGCACCAACTCCCGGTTACTCATCGGTTACTCACAGGGCGGCCACTCCCACTAACTCCTTTTTTATTTGGTTTTAATGAGCCAAACCCTCCGTCTGGCCATGAAGACAAGGGGGAGGTGATCGGGGAGCGAGTGGCAGTTTGGGGAGATTCGCAGAAGGCGACGTTAGGTCTTAGATCGGGGGTTTCACGGCCCCGCTGCCCGCACACATACCTCATGTCATTCCCACGACAGCCTCACAGGGTGGGAGCGTCACTGTGCCAACCCACAGAGCTGGATACTGCACGGGGTGTGGGGGACAGTCCCCCCCACAGTCACTCCCGGGCCCTTTGCCTGCCCCCAGAGGAGAACGAGTGGGTGCTGGGTTTAGGCGGAAGCCCCTCGAACCTCTGGGCCTTGCTCAGTGACAGCAGGTGTCCCTCCAGGCCTCTGAGATGACCTCAAGCCCCTGGACCCTGACCTCACCCATCCCCACCTACCATTCCCCTCGCAGCCTAGCTTGGCCAGGCTCACTGGAGGGGGGGGGCGGGGGGGGAGCAGAGGCAGCTGCCTCCCCCTGACACACCCCTAGCCTTGAACAGAGGAGTGGCCTGGTTCCCTGATGCTCGCCCAGGTGGGCGCTGGCCCGCTGCTGCCCAGGTCCACGTGTCCGCAGCTCCCTGCACTCCTGGCACAGCGGAGATGCTGCTGCTCCCTGCTCTGTGGCTCCGGGCAACTCACACACCTTCTCTGAGCCTGTATCCGCATTTGTCAAGTGGACTCACGATTCTCTCCTGGGGCTCCACTGCCCCAGGAGAAGCTCCGAGAGCAAACAGGACAGATGGGCATTGCCCTCACCATCCCCACCTGGGGAGCCGGCCTGGAGCCTCCGGGGTTCACAGGGGCCCAGAACAAGCCCAGAAAAATCACTCTGCTTCCTCCCAGGGCCGACCCACTCGGCCCTGCCCCGCTACCCCCTCTCCGCATATTCTGCATAAACCCAAAACATCTGGAGCAGAAGAACCTTCAGAAACCACTGCCACATGGGTAAACTGAGGAACCAGGCCCCCTCGAGGGGCCACCCAGCTCTATTCCTTCTCTCCTATAGGTTGTTCCAAGTCAAGCCCTCACTGACCCTGCCGGATGACAGGTTCAGAGAGAGAGCGGAGGCAGCCCCTTGCTGGCTCCATGCCCTCACGGTGCCAGCCAGGCCTCGATGTCCCAAGTGAGGTTCCTGCCCAGGACAGCAGGACCTGTCCCTCCTGTCGTCCCCCCACCCTGACCCAAAGGAGGACACTTGGCACCAGGAAGTCATTTTGAGCAGCTGCTGGAAGGGACAAATGCTTCCTGAGCAAAGTGGGGCAGAACTGAGCTCCCCTTTCCCTCCTGGGACAGAGCTGGGGCCTGAGCCCACCCTCCCCACACCCCAGATGCTCCCCTCGCTGTCTACTCAAAGCTACCTGCCACTTGGGGATGTGGCATACTATTTCTAG